GTTAATTTCCCACGCACGAGATTACTGTGTGATGGACGTCCTCCCCTGGGGCGGGATGGGTGGGTTAATAATATTCTAATGTATTTAGTACGAGTCACTGGCTCATTGAACATCTCGAATTGAAATAAATGAACAGACAGACAGACAGCCTAACCTGGAGTTTGAGAACTTCCTCCTTTGACAAGTGGATCAAATTTAACATACAGAGACTGACGGGCCAGGGCTGACTGCAAATACAAAGACAACATTGATTTGATCATTAACAAGTCTTCATGTAGCTGTACTGCAGTGAAAACATCAAAAGACTTTTTGGGATAACACAGAGTTTGGTAACGAGAGACAATGAGGCAGAACACTGAAGGCAACAGAAATCAAAACAAGAGATGATAGAGATTCAATTTCATGTTATCATTTTATTATTGAAGCAGCACCATTTTTTGTAGGGGGCTAGCATCTAAATTCTCCTTACAATAATTATTACCCCTGAATCACAAATTAAGGTCAGGAGAATGAAGAAAATTATCACCAACTAAACAAGCTCATGTGGAGAATATGCAGGGTGTAAAAGGTTCAAGGTTAAAAATTAGCATGGTTGCTTGGACACCTTAAAAGTAACACTAATCAAAACAAACAAACAAACAAACAAAACATAATTATTTCTGTGAGTGAGTACACATGTGCATTTGTAGACAGGCATTGTCACTACAGATAGGAAAGGTTAAGAATTTGTTAATTCAGGCCATAAAATAACAAAAGATAACCATAAAAAAAACTCTGACTTTTTAAAATCACCCAGACATTGCAGACTGTTAATGAAAGTACATGTACTACAAATGCCTTCACTGAAGCCTTACAAAACAGTCACCACTTAAAATGACTGCAACATTTTCAAATCTTTCTCTCCCTCATAATTATAGAAAACCACAAATTAGCATATCTGCAAGAGCTTGATCACTTGAAATGCAAAACACCATACCACATATTCATTTTCAAAAATAAAAGTCAACTCAATTCACAGCCTGCCTTACCAATATTTTCAATATATAATTTCTTCATCTGTGACTGAATGACTTAAAAAGGTTTGACAATCTTTTCTCATTCAAGTCTGACACTTAATGAGGTCTCTCCTATTTTTATTTGACATGTCTTTTACTCGGTGATCACCAGGAACAGGTATCGATGTGACAGCTTCAATTTCACTGCCCAATGAGCAGGAGAAAAGGTGAATAGAGTTCAAAACATTTGACAAAGAAACTCTCTGCGACATCATTAATAATTCACGATCAACGTCTGGTAGTATTTTGATCCAAAGCAAGGAAATTCCTTTTCCACTAAGCTCTCAGATATCATAAATTTAGAGCTTCAATGATTTTCAAAATCATGAAAATTTCCACACAAGATCTACACTGTGACAGACGAAAGTGACAAAATTTACAGTGCAGTTAATCAAGAGGCATAGCAAAAACAGGTACAAAAAATAAAATACATTTATACAAACACCATGGTTGTTATTAGGACAAGACAGTCAACATAAATCATGCACATTGATTAAGGTGAAGGAAAAGTTCATTTTATTTGTTAATATAATGGAAGCATATTTTCCCAGCTTAAAATAGAAAAGTAACAATGTGGAAAAAAAAAAAAAATGTTCATGCACACTTCGGATAAATTAGCAATTCCTTCCCTATCAATTACACTTGTCTTGTTCCACCACTAGGAAAGTTACATTGTATTACTGTTGTCACAATCACTTATTAATTATAAGAAAAGCTGCACTATCATTACAACCAGCATTAAATAATAACTGTTAATTTCATTTTAATCGTTATCTATCCATAAAACCGAGGCATTCGTGAGTAACTGAAAATCAAATTTGAACCTTTAGACCTCTAATTCTTAAAGACCTGATTGTTAATTCTCTCCTCTAGCTGCTTGACATTCCCTTACAAATCAGTTATGAGAATTTGGCATTCGACCAAGATAACAACTTTAAAATGAAAAGTTGAAGTCTTCTCATTACCTTTTTGCTGGATAAAGTATGAATGTTAAAGGGAGAAGTTACATGTTAATCAATTCTGGGAGGTAAAACTTTTAAAATACATAGTTAAATGTAATTGTTACAGTTACTTTTGAATACCAGGGACTGACACTAACTTTTCAACTTACTAGTCGAACGGCTAGTGACATCTTAGATGTTTTTAGATGTTAAGACAATTTCAGTCTGTTCACTAGCCAAACTGGCGAGTGGAAATTGAAAACCACTAGCCAAAACCAAATTTCTACTAGTCTTTGGCTAGTGGGCTACCGCTAGTGTGTTGAGCCCTGAATACAGAGATTTCTTTCTGACAAAAAATAGGGAACACTAACTCAAGACCATTTCTTACCATTTGAAAGTCCTCCCTGTTATTTCCACACTGTTCCAAATAGTCCAGCTCCCACATGGCTGTTATTGAAAGGTAACAATGACTTCAGTAAACATACAACAATACCAATTTCAAGTTAAAACTCTTTCATATGCTTGCAGCTTCCACTTTAATTCATAACACAGTTATTACCTTCACTGGCTGGCTTAAATGCCTCATCTCCAAACTGATCATCAATCTCTGGCTGGTTTTCTGCATCTTTTTCAAATATAGCTATAACATCTTCAGCCTTTTCACCACTACTAAGATCTTCATTAGGTGTTTTACCCTCTTGAAACTCATTTTCAAGCTCAGAAGGGTTCACTGAAAACAGTTCAGCTGACTTATATGATCTTCCTTCACCAGTTATCTCCTTAAGTAAATTGTCAGTTCGTGCATTTCCTGTCGACAGCACATCATCTTCTATGTTGTCATTCTCATGCGGAGCAAGGAGATTGTTGATGTCTTCATTACTGTCTAAGAAGTTCTCTTAAAGGAAAAATCATTGAGGTTCAGTGATCCTTAAAGTCAGAGGCTTTAATCTAAGTTGACTATCCCATCGCCATGCATATCTATCAAGTTTATAGCTAACATTTTTTAAAATTTCAAAAACACCCCTTGAAAAATTCAAGCATTGAATAATGTGTTCCAAGGCAAGACAGTTTTTTTTAGTATTTCAAAAGAAACATTTAAGACCAAGACAAAATTTCAAAACCACTGGGTGTCAGACTACTTTGCACCAACAACATTGTACTTTGTAAATTGTGATCAAAGACAGAAAATATGTATTTTTGAACTGATTCTAACACCATCATCCAGCTAAAGGTTAGTCAAAATTCAATTTGTTCTGGAAGAGCATGTCCCCTGGCTCCCCTAGAAGGGCATGCTGCAAGCATGATTCAGTTTAGCTGCCTACACTGTACTCAGTTTATATCATAAAGCTGTTACATTTTTCAATGATAACCCTGCAGGGAAGTAAAAACAATGAATAGCAGGTTTTGTGTACACATCAGATGACTCTATTGAGTTTACCCTTAACCAAGGCTGCGCTCTGAGAAAAATTGAAGGGAGCCCATTGTTCTGAAACTGTGAAATCCAGGGTGCGCAACATAATTATGCTTTTTATGAAAAAATTAAGATTCTTGAGTTGCCTAAGAGCAAAAATAAGGTGCCAGGGGGCCCCCAGGCGCTACAAGACCACAGCCCTGCATAACACCCCATAATCAGTATGCATATTCTCCATAACGTTCTCTTTATATTTTTCTTCATTTCCTGAGGTGCTGATTAGGAGAATTTGTTTTACAATCAAGAGCTTCTTTAGTTGATGATCATTTCCTTTATATTCTCCTGACCTTGATCTGTGATGCAGGGGTAATATTGTTAGGAGAAATTAGATACTGGTCACCTTTAGAGGCTAAAAAGTTAAATTTAGTCTTCAAAACTGTATATTCCATTTCACATTCTCACAAACCTTGCTGATCAGGTGACGTTCTTTCACTCCCAATTGGTGAAAATGTGCGTAGACAGTCACTACTGTTAATTTGTAACTTTGAAAAGTCCGACATGAGCTCTGAGTCTAAGTCATCATTGGGTTCATTCTGATGCCCTTCAGAGCCTTGTGTTATATTGCCGACAGACAATTGGGATCCATCAATCTCTGAATCGTCAGCATTAGATGTCATGTTTGTAGGTGTGCTTGATTGCCCCCTGAAATGATGAAAAACACACATTTCACAGTTTCTCTTTACTTAATAGACCTGAGGTTGACTTACAGAAAGGTATGTGTGAAAGAAACTGACAAAAGTGTTAAAGAGGGCAGTAATATTTTACATGTGGTAACTAAGTTTCTCCATACAGATTTCCTACATTGCTGCTACTGAAAAATTATTTAAAATAATCATATAAATGCATACAGTGTAGTGGCTATGTTAGTATTACATGAAGTTTATGTGTACCCAGGGTTGCCAGCTGTGGATGAAATTTGCCACGTGAAAATCAGCAATTGCAGGCTGGATTTTTAGCTGGCAATTACTTGGCAAAGCACAACACCACCTTTGAGCCTCTTAACATAAAATTTCAGCTGACAGCGTAATTCCTTAGTTACAAAACTTGGTATCAGAAGACTCCCATCTTACCATGCTTGTTACAGACTGAAACCACTTTTACTCTAACTTACCCAAAGCAGGGTAAATCAGCGATAAGCTGTTCAAGCAACTCCTACAAAAACATCAGAAACAGCATTCAAATCAATATGAACTGGCACTCTGATGGAGCAAGCCAAGTTGAATATTCAGTAGAACTAAATTCTTCATTTCTTACCTTGGCTGTTTCAATGTATAAATTGTGCTCCTCCTTGGTCACAACCTGTGTCCTCTCTGTCCAGTTTTGTTCCTCGTCAAGTTTGCGAATATCTTCCCAAGCAGTTTTTTCTTCACTTTTGTGAGGGATTATATGCCACACAGGAGAATTTTTAAAGGAGATCTACAGAACAATCATAGAAGTTGTAAATACACGCAAAAAAAGAGACAGTAAGAGTTTACCATTTGATTAATAAGTGGGCTTGCTTGGTTGTCAAGACAACCAAGCGATTGGTGACCAAACTGTATACATTGTGACAAATGAAAATACTAATATGGTTTCCTGGATGAAAGTTGAAACAGTGGCTCAGCTTACATTGAACAAACATGCATGTAACAACAACATTTAATCTGCAACTGTAACTTATCTACAGTTACAAATAAATATCCCATTACCTTCACATCAAAATGAGCAAATAACAATTATAGTAATGTTACACCTTCCCCAAAGCCGCAAATGGAGTTGGAGAAATAATAATTATTATTCTGAATCAAGGTCAATGAAAATTATCGATTTGAAGAGCTGAGGACAACCTTAAAAAAATTATCCACACATTCATTAAGTCATACCACGCCAAGAACCTAAAAATACAATAATAACAGTATTCCTCATGGTAGATCAGAAGATATTTTGGGTATCAGAATTATACCATCCAAAGTTCACGCCAAATTAGTGATTTTGTACGTAATGAACTAGCCGATTGAGGAGGCAATTGAAAATAAAATAAATTATCCTTTCTGCTTTCGAGCTAGGGAAACTCCTCGTCATTATAATACAAATCTATCATGCCCCTGAGATTTTTTCGCATCAGAAACTATGTGAAGACCGTTAATCTTGTTACCTAGGTCCTCGATCAACCCGGGGCAGTTAATATTATGACAAATTAAACCTCGTTTACATGTCGATGAAATGAAAACTACAGTTTTTGGCCAAGAATTTTGATGTAGGTGAGCCAAAATTGTTCATGGTCAAAAGGCAACCGCAGTTCTATTTAAGACATAACCTTACTTTTGTTAATTTCTTTTCCAAGGGGAAGTTTGCTCTCTGAGAAGATTTCAATATCGACACAACTCTTGGTAGTTCCCCATCTTGAAATTTCTCTGGGACACCCTGGTTCTCCTTATCATCTAGTTCCTGGCTTGGCGCCCTAAAATCCATTTACGATGAAAGGTTAAATCTTATGAATTGTAAAAACACTCAGCAAACAATAAAACAACAGTAAAATTCAAAGGTTTACCATTTCGCGAACCGTTGGCCGCCTTTTTTGCTGAGCCCGCGAGCACGCAGAGGAGAATCGAAATGAGCATGCGTTCAGGAAATATTTTCCGACAAATTTTCCGGACTGGACTAAAATATGAGAATTAGGACCATTTTTGCATAGACGTAGTGAGTTAACTTAGTATATTTTTGTGCCAAGTTTTGAAAGTTCTCTGTTAGAGTATATAACAACACGACAAGGACCAGCAGGAGCCGGTCATCATATATCACCTGGGGTGGAGGGGTCGGAAGATTTTGCTTGTATCACAATAAAATTTCGTTTAACAAAACTGTTCGAGCTAAGTTGGAAATGCGCTATCATTCTGAGGTACTGCCAACAGGCGTTTGGTATTTGGCTTATATTTTATTTTTTCTTATCTTCCTTTTTTTTTAATTTATTTTTTATTTATCATTTTTGCAACATTTTATAATAAACGTCAGGAGCCCATCACTTTGGCTCCTGTAAACGTTTAGAGTGCATCATTTAATCTGATAACAATAAATGTCTAACAATAAAACACTTAAAATGCATTACCTATGTCATACAGAGCTAAGATATGAACTGGAAAAAATAATTAAGTAAACAAGGCAACATAGAGAATGAACTACACGTTGAATAGAAACATATATATGTTTAAATGTATCCATATTTTTTGTTGAATTATTTGTTTTTTTTTTCCTACCTTCACTTGTCCTAGGTCAGTGGTTTTAGTACTTTCCCATTTTTTAAAATGCTTTGAGAGCTTATTTCTAGTTCTCTGGCAATTTGGAGCTCAATTTTCCACTTTTTAGAGAATGTATAGTACTTTGCTATTATTATATGGCTGTCTCTCACAAGGACTGGGAACTACCGAATTCACGAATTTGATTGGCTGAAATCAATATTGAAAGCAGTCTAGATTTTCCCATCTAGACCGGCATCTAGACCGGTCTAGAAAAAAAAAGGTACAAAGAATATAAAAAATTGGCATATAAGACTCGGCCATATAATGAACATCGTATTAACCGAGCTAGGTCGGTCTGTATGGGAGAATCTTGACCTCGGTCGCTGGTACAGACCTCACTGCGTTCGGTCTGTACTGGCGACCTCGATCAAGATTCTTCCATACAGACCTCCCGCTCGGTTAATAAGAACTAAGTAACAAGAATTTTGTTATGGAGTTACAAGATATGATTAATTAAAATGATGTCCCCACCCCAAAAACTGAAAGCTGTGTTATTTAGCAAAACCCTGCGATGATGAGCTATCAGTCTGAGGTAATACCAACAGGCATTTAGTATTTTGTCTTTATAGAGCAGGAAAGTCCTTCGACGGGTACGTCAATTTTACATCCAGTCGTATCACCATGATGAAGAACACGCCATTACGATGAAAGATAAAAAATAATATATTAAAAGAGAAACGTTAATTCCCGATGTAGTGGTCATCCTGAGTTAATCATGGCTCACCTTTCCTCTTTTTCTGCATCAGGAGGAAATTCAGTGGCTTCTTTCGCGTTGATATCTGTTCCACCAACTGATGGAGGTCTGAAGAACAAAGAAAGCTCACAAGAATGTTTACGAGCGCAAAAAATCAACATAGATCACACTAAGCGACAAACTTGACGACTGTGGTCTGTATGTTTTAGTGAAGACAAACCGTTGAGTAGCTCAGACGCATGCACTAAACACAGAAGCTCAGAGAGCCTGAACTTCTCTTGGCAAGCCCTTAAGCACTTATTATTAAAATCTCGCGCTGCGGTTTAGGTGAACCGGAAAAGTTTTGGCGCGTTCTATGGAGTTTATCCACGAGGGGAGGGTGCGGCCACACGTAGGGTAATGTTTGCATGACTCACAATTCTATATATAACATCAATTTTGCCAAAGAAAACTCGGGAACTAGGCTTATCAAATCTTGTACGGCAGAAAATAGATTGCATTTTAAAGGCATATGGAATGGTTATCAACTTATACGTTTATTGAAGTTCTTTCAAACGATAAGGTGGCATTGCATGGCATGGCGGAATTTACTTTGCTGTGAAGATCCAGAGGTTACCGAGGGCTGTACCCTTATGTCGAGATTTCGTACGGTACCTTTTCCTTATCAAGCCTTACAGGTATTAAGCGTGACAGATTTCCGGTAAAGAAGGAAAAAAAAATAAAACAAAGCGAAACAAGAAATCGAACAAACAACAACAACAAGAAAATAAACATGAAAACAAACGATTAAGTTGCAATGAAGGTGGTCTTTCTCCCTACCTCAAGAAAACGCCCTCGGTAGTCCTATTTAGTAAGGACGAATCTCCGAAAAGGTTGACTTTGGAAAAATAGTCAAACGTTTTCCATAACTAATTAAAGAGTGAAAGAGAAAATTTAATTCGTGTATGGGAATAATAGGCGAAACCATAATAGCACAAAAGATTACACTTTTGACAAAGGATAAAAATTACTCATCCCAGTCTTGATATCATCAACAAGGGTTTTGCATGGCTCACAATCTTTCTGATCTTCTAGAAAAAAGTCACTGCAGAGACACGATAATGGACTGACACAATTTCACCATAACAGAAACCTATTGCAATTTAAACAGAACTGAGAGTCAACTCAAAAAGTATATCTTTTATACTGTATTTTCTGGAAGAGGCGTCCGCTCTGCAATAAGCCCCCCCCTCCCCCCCTGAACAAGCTTTAACTACAGCATAATCAGAACAGGATAATAATTAATGCCCCCCCTCGATTTACGCGCCCTCCCTCCAATAAGCGCCCCACCCCTCTCCCCCTGGCCCATCCCTTTCAGCCGAATTTTGAATAAGAGCCCGGTTGGTCATAATACCAATCTTGGAGATTTGCTGGACGTCGGCTACAGGTTACGCGAAAGAATAAGGAGCTTAGCGAGGATATCTTGAAAGCAGGGCAAGAAGTAAACAAATTCTTCAAGGATTTGTCTGTTCAATATAGCTTTTTAAACTAGAATGCAAGCCTCACCCAAAAATGAGTATACTTTTTTACAGGGAAGAGGTTTGTTTGAAAGAGCTCAAGCGTAAAGACTGATCAAATTAAACGAAATAAAACCTATGAGCAAGGAAACGGAATGAAGAAGTGTAAAATGTACGTAGTGCCAACACCTTCATTATCTGATGACACACCTGCTTAGAGATCTAGTTCAAGATATCCAACAATCTTACGCGTGGAATAAAATTCCCCAATGTGAAGGAGGCTATGAAATACCATTTTAATAGGAAAGAAACACCCAGAGGAGGCAATAATCAACTGAGGATGAGCGAAAGTAGCAAAGTTTATAAATAATTGCCTTAGTCACAAACTAGAAACTAATTTATGCCAAAATTTTTCAGGGTATGAAAACTCCATGTCTTCGTGACTGATTGTACAACTGCGCAAAATCTTCTGTTACAACATGCTTTCATTTCGATGTATAATTAATGATAAAAATTTAAGAGTCTTTTACTAGATAGCAGGCATATTGGTATGTTGGAGTCCTAATTCGGTAGTCAGAGCTGAGCCCTTTGGAAACGTAACCAAAGAAACGCCTTCACTCTGCATGAGACGGATTTCTTTCCGTGGGATCATTCCATTATGTTCTGGAAGAAAAATGAAGCGAAATCAGATGTTAACATTTTCATTTGCGCTTGGTATAACAAAGGGTGTGTCTGACGAATGGTGCTAATGAATCCGAAAAAATTTACGTGCTAAAAACCCGTGCAATTAGATACGGACCAATCAGGGGAGAGCTTAGTAATCCATGCACATAAGTTTTTAAAGGACGCACTTTTTGAAATTGTCACAAACCTTCGATAAATTCTACTTTAGCGAATACCTGTGGCCACAAGTTTTGCCCACGCATTATGTCGTTCGTTGGAAGCCTTCTTTCTTTTTGTCAAACTCAAGCGACGTAATATGTACGTATCATTTCTAGCAACGAACCGAAGCAGGTGAGTGTATTTAGACGCTTATGTAAGCAAGTAAAACTTTGTAACCTAATTCTCAAAGGAAGTTAAATTTAAGAGAGGTTCTAGGTCGATGCGTCGTTTCAAAATATCGTTTGAATTCGCTTCAGTTGCTCGTATTTCTGCCCAGAAGCTGTCAATTACTTTACATTAGACAATCCTTGGCTTCAGTTGTTGTTCAAAGGCCGATTAGCGCAAACCCAAGGTTAAATTTTAATCCAGGTTTCTATATTTTTCTATTCAAAAGCAGTTTTGGGATAATTTTCCCAATTCTTTTTAGAGCATTCAATCATCAAATTTTAGACAAAAGAAATTAAACTGAATTGACTTTCAAAACTTTAGATCTAAATCAAATTTCACACTAACCCTGGGTTATCTTAACTCACCTATATATGAACAACCCGGCCCAGCTTACTTGAAATTCTTCTTTGTAAAATGTCGTCGCGCGTTAAACCATTTAGTTTAATCTCTCATCTTCCTTGCTAAAATTCCACATGGGCAATATGGTGAAAGCTAAGTTCGTGGTCTTTAAATTAGTTAAAAGTTTGAAGGGAACCTCGCTCTAAGTCTCTGCGTTGTAATGTATTTAAGTTTAAATGTTGGTGAATTTATATAACTTTTTCTTTTATATTAGCTTACCAATTTTGCATTGTTTTGGAAAAAACTGGTTCACGGAAACCCCTCAAGTTCTTCTTACATGTGTAATAATTACGAATTCAGAATAAGATTTATCTTGCAAAGTTTCCCCTCACCTGTCCACGATGTTTTCAAGTTCGATTTATTTTTCCTAAATATTTCTCTTTTCATGCTTTGTCATTCAGTCTTAAACGACATACTCCAGTCCAAACAGAACATAGTCCAATTCAGTCCAAATTATCCCAGTCCAGTCCAGTTCAGTTCAGTTCATTTCAGCAGAGTCCAGATTATTGTGCATTTAGTCCAAACCTCAGCGTCTAGTACCATCCGGTCCAGTCCGACCCGATCCAGTCCGTTCCATTGGTCTTTTCCTTGTGGTCCAGTCCGTTCTATTAGTCCTTTTCGTGTGGTCCAGTCCATCCTCACAAGACAAGT